TATATAACAGTATAACATAACTTATAAGAAGTGATGTCTAAATAAATTCCACGTTTGGAATAACCTTAATTTCCTATGGCTGAAAGAGTGCGCATCCTAATTCAATAACTGCCATTCAACTCTTCAAGCTTCATAAAGACAGGTTTACACGAGAAATATTCATGATTGAATTAGGCCTACTGATTTCGGGAGGCCGAAAATAAAAGTAGTTTAGAATGTTTGACATCTTTATGGTAACGCATTTGATAGATTGGTCAGCAATTCGGTAGACGTTTCTGGTGAGCATGGATTTCGTCCGGCTAGCAACCTAGTAAAGGCTGTTAGACAAAAAGACTAAATCGGTTAATGTGAATTTTTGCGAAACCGCTTACTCGGGCACAACCGGTTGTACAATAGAATTCCTTCGAAAGACCTCATGTGCCGCTTGCAGAGCGGCATGGTCTGGAGACAAGAAGATTTGTGGTAGCCCAACGGGCATGCCGAGCAGGCCAGACAGGCCAGGCAGGCCTGGGGAGACAGAAAATCTGCCACGTGATCGCAGCAGCCCAGCTCCCAGACCTTCCGGCGCAGCAGCAGCAGCGGCAGCAGCTCCTCCTACAGACCGGCGCTTGACCGGAGTGTTGAGCTCGCTAAGGGTGGCACGATGAGCCATCAAAATGTCCAAGCCCGGCACGAGCAGAGGAGAGGCGCCGGTGCCGGGCACTGCTGGCGGCGCGAAGTCGAGAGGACCAAGCGGATTGCGCTCGCAAGTGGAAGGTGAACCGCTCAATCGACGCATGTGAGGCTGGTAGTAGAAGGGATGGTACAGAGGGTAGGCATGCATTGGGGGACAAGGACCGCCTAGAGACCGGGTGAGTAAGAAACGAAAAGAGCGTTGACATGACGAGGATTAGCAGGTGAAATGACGGAGAGACGAGACTGAAAACTCTTGGCTGGTTAACGTGGAAGCGCAGTGTTGTAAACTCATGTGGACGAAGTTAATGAAGGCTGGCTATTTTTTCTCAGACTTAATCTGCTTTCGTTTGGGCTGCAGAGGAAGAAATCATTTTATAGTTGCTATAATTTTCAATTACGCTTATATCACGTTTTATCATGTTCCTAATTTCCCTTGATTTTTCTATCTCAAGCCTGTGACTAGTAACTAAATAGAAGCAAGATAAAAGGGCTAAGAATTCCTTTACACGTTTTAAAAAACCATTTTATTGCAAAGCTACATTTTTCTAACTTTTCTTTCTAACAGCATCATATTTTATTTACTTAAATATGCGTCGTACTTTTCGACTGTTAGAAAGAAAAGTTAGAAAAAGTAGCTTTGCAATAAAATGGTTTTTTAAAACGTGTAAAGGAATTCTTAGCCTTTTTATATTGCTTCTATTTAGTTGCTAGTCACAGGCTTGAGATAGAAAAATCAAGGGAAATTAGGAACATGATAAAAAGTGATATAAGCGGATTGAAAATTATAACAACTATAAAATGATTTCTTCCTCTGCAGCCCAAACGAAAGCAGATTAAGTCTGAGAAAAAATAGCCAGTCTTCATTAATTTCGTCCACATGAGTGTACAACACTGCGCTTCCATTGTTTAGCAGAACTAAGCATAATATTTTATTTACTTAAATATGCGTCGTACTTTTCGACTTAGTTCTGCTAAACAATGGTATGCACTATGTAAAAATCACCCTTATATAAAGTTTCAAATCTACTTTTGGCAAGTCATTCTCAGTTACCCCAATGATTCTAATCAAATTAGAGAAAACTTACTTTTTGAGATAGAATATTGAAGGTATAGATAATTGTTTGATCAAACTTTCCTCCATTCCAGCTGATTTTGACTGGATTTCGATGGGTTTTTCTATTTCTAGATGGAAAGTAAAGTAG